AGCATTTAGTGGCCGGATCCCCTGCCTGATGCTTATATGCAGAGTTTGTAGCAGATATTTTTTCCTTTGTGCCCAAAGAGAGAGAAAAACCTTCAGAGTGGGAGATGAATGTCTTCACCACTAGGCCACCACGCTGCTCTGCTACATTAGCAAATCTATTTGGAGTAATATTACCGATAATTATGTCCACACAGCATACAGGTGGCAATTCATTCTCGGATTAGGATTAATTACAATTTACAGCTCTTTCCTGAAAACGAAAATGTGCTGTGCCTATAGTCTTGAGTTGGAGTAGGAGAAGTAGATTAACTTTGCCTCTCCTCCGAGTAACTTGCCCTCCTGTGTGTTCTGTGGACGACCTGATCTTGATTCAAAGCCAGGATCTCCTTCTAACACTGGAATGGGGAAATAAAATAATATAAATCTAAATTACTGTTGAATCTATTGATGGATGAGGGAAAGAGGTAGACAATTTACAAGGTCACTATATACAACAGTTTGAACGACTGTTGTTGTGAAAACAGTAAAAAGAAAAAAGTCACATGAAAAGTCTTGAAAATATTTGATTTTAAGGCTAAGCCTGGATGAAGGACATGGAGAAGGAGGAGGAGGAGATGCCCTTTTGCCAGATCTCTGGTAACCCTAGGCCTGGTTCATTCTTTGGTGCAAAAGGATGTTGTTACATTTTTCAGAAATCTGGTAACACCTTTTCTGATTACCAAATGTTATTAAAAGAAAACAGCTTTCACGATTCACATCTGTTGAAGTGTCAGCTCACAAAAGCTTCTGCCTTTTAGAAAAAGTTGTTGGTTAGAAAAGGGGTTACCAGGCTCCTGGCTTTTTACCACTGCACAAAAACACAGCTGTCCTCCTATACCAGTGGTGGCGAACCTATGGCACGGGTGCCAGAGGCGGCACTCAGAGCCCTCTCTGTGGGCACGCGTGCCGTCGTCCCAGTCCTAGGCCTTCAGCTGGGTTTTATAAAACCCTTTCGCTTTAGGCCACCGCCATGTGCAAAAAAAAGAGGTTCAATCAATCAGTCAATTTCAACTTCTCGGGAAAAAAAAAAGATCTTGCAAAGTTGGAATTGATTGATTGAACTTTTTAGTCCCACCCAGTCTGCTGTTACCACCGCAGCCACGCCCACCCAATGGGCCACACCCACCCAATGGGCCACACCNAAAAAAAAAAAGGTGCCGGAACTCACACGTGTCTTACAATCCGTCTTGCCTACCCTACAAGGTTCCATCCAAAAAAGGTGCCGGAACTCCGTTCTGGGCGTTCTATGACAAAAAAAGCCCTGGTTATACAATACAATCGTTAAAATTTGTATGGCTCAATGCAATTTGTGTCTATACTGCTTAGCCACAAATGTAGTGCTTTTTTCTGGTATTGGCAGACGTACTCTCCTGTAGCTTTAACAAGAAACAAATGCTCTTTTAATTTTTCCATTTATTGCTGCAAGAAAATGAAAAAAGAAAGAAAAAAGCAGCAAGTAATCCCCTTTTAAATAAGGAAGAGTATAATCCTAACATACAGATTAAATATGTTTGGCAAACATGCAACGTTTTGTAGAAGTTCTTAGAAGAATCAAAACTTCCTTTCATGGAGTTGTGCTATGTTTCCCCACCAGCTCTTCTGAGGGTAACTTTAGTCAGTTTGACACACAGCTTCAACATTTCCTTAATAATTACACTGATTATGGCTACAGTCTGGATTTCCTTAATGCTTTTTGTCATGGGGATAACAAACCTTTCTGAACATTCAAAGATGCATTATCTTGATGGGGCATTTTAGTTTTATACATAACAAACAAAACATTTCTGAACATGTGTCTTCCACATGCATTTTATAAAAGAAAAAGATTGCTGTAATATATATATATATATATATGTATGTATGTATGTATGTATGTATGTATGTATATTTTCATCGAAAGTCACCCTAACTGATCATATCATTCTGAGCCACCACATTATTTAAAGAATTTAACAACATTGCTCAGGGTTAAAGAGGGCACTGAAGGATAATTTCAGCAGATCAATGCAAGCCATGATTTGTTTTCTTTTGAGAAGCCTTCTTTCTTTCTCACTGCAGGCAAGAACTTGAGAAGCTGCTTCTGAAGAGGGAGATCGCTTGTTAATTAGATCCATTTGCAATAGCCGCCCAAATGTTCCCATCAAATTCCTGCCTGGAGGCATGTATTCATTTCACAGAGTTATCAAGAGTGATGGTGGTTGGGAGGAACAGACTCCAAAACCTGCAGAATCCAGCACATCTTCACAAGTTATTTCTTCAAAATCTCTGTTTGGCTCCTGTGCTGAAAAAGACATAAAAGAGTTTCAGAATTATATAGCGCTGTTGTATCTTTTTTTTTAAATGTTTTATTGAGCTCTTTATTTATATCCCCCTTTATTATTTTTACAAATGACTCAAGGTGGGGAACATATCTAACACACCTTCCTCCTCCTCCTATTTTCCCCACAACAATTTTGTGAGGTGGGCTGGGCTGAGAGTCTATGGCTGGCCCAAAGTTACCCAGCTGGCTTTCATGGCAAAGGTCGGATGAACTCACAGTCTCCTGCTTTCTAGCATGGAGCCTTAACCGTTACACCAGTGGTGACGAACCTATGGCACAGGTGCCAGAGGCGGCACTCGGAGCCCTCTCTGTGGGCACATGTGTCGTTGCCCCAGCCTTACCTCCCTCCACAACCCCCTCACCAGCAGCCCCCCTGGAGGAGAGTCGCCCCCGAGTGTGGCCCACGCGCAGCAGCACAGCCAAGGACATGGCAGCCAGGCAGCGTAGACAAGACTCTGCCCTCACACCCCATCATGCAGTTGATGCTGCAGGGCGTGGGCAGAGGATGTGACTGCCATGGGCTGCCTGGGCGGTCTGTGGTGGGCCCTGGAGGCGGTGAGTGGCCCTGCTGGCAGGCGGGGTGGGAGCGAGGCAGGGGATGGAGCGGGGGCGGGGCCAGTTTTTGGGCACTCGGTCTCTAAAAGGTTCACCATCACTGCGTTAGATCAAATTCACTGTGTCTCCAAGACAAAAAACTAGATGGTGGAGGTTTAGCTATCTGAAAGCCACATTGGGCTCTACCACTTGCCCATTTTCTTAGATTCTTTTAATTAAATAATAAAATAAAATAAAATAAAATCTCAGAAATTCTGTTCCTGTTTATTCAAGGAATCATTTGGGTGCACAGGATAAAAAACAGCAGCTGGATTAGTGTTCTCTGTTCTAACTTGCCCACTCCAATTTTTAGATATAGACATTTTAAGGAGAGCCCACTTAGCGTTTTCAGCAGTTGCTCCAATTCAGATATGCACCATTTTAATAGGACTTGACGAGTCCTACAGTCATGCCTAAATAATATACTGCATGAGAATAACACTTAAAAGAGCATTGTAAGTAGTCAAGTTGCCATTTAACTATTCAAAAGGAGGCTTCTAAGATATTTTGCCTCTCTATAGAATTAGACTTTGCAGGAATAGAGGGCAAGCAAAGACACTCAAATTACTGGTAGGACAATTTCTTCCCAGGCAGCCCCATTCTGCTTTAACCTTGTATTTGCCAACATAGGTCACTTTTGAAGGTAATTAGGCAAATTTTCTAGAGAATAATGCTATTATCAGCTCTGTGTATATTGCCTTTAATATTATAGGCAGTATGTCCCTATATATGAGATCTTGTAAAATACAAGCAAAAGAATGCATCTGTTGGTATATCAAACTGATATTTTGGAAATAAAAACTGGTTAGATGAGTTTTCAGCTTGAGCTAGCATACTATTTATTATAATAACACAGCAGAGATAAAGTACTGCATCCCCAAGTGTATCCTAAGACTTTCCTTCTCTTTTCCCCTGTGCATAATTTAAAGGGCCTTATCTAACTATTCTGGATTCTGCAAAATGGCCCCACAGTTGCGTTTGAAGTATATTAGTGTGAAAGTGTGTGAACGCTTCCTATTCCCCGTTATTGGTGACAACATCATCATTAGAAAATTCTATACCAAGCAATGTGGCCGCATAGGAGAGCATTCAAAGGAGGAAGGACAAGAAATACACAGGCGTCTCCAGCCAGTCAGAATCCCCAAATTATTAATCTGCATATGCATGCAGAAAAAACAATTTGGTTAGCTAATGAAAATTAGCAACAGGGATAGGACAACACTGATAAAGCAGAGCTGGTTTTTGTTAAAGACTGCTAGTGAGGATATATTCCAGTGATGGCGAACCTTTTAGAGACTGAGTGCCCAAATTGCAACCCAAAACCCACTTATGCATCGTCGAGTGCCCATTGGGTGGGTGTGGCCCATTGGGTGGGCGTGGCTGCGATGGTAACGGCAAACTGGGTGGGACTAAAATGTTCAATCAATTTCAATTTTGCAAGATCTTTTTTTTTTCCGCGAGAAGTTGAAGTTGACTGATTGAACCTTTTTTTTTTTTGCACACAGCGGCGGAGGCCTAAAGCGAAAAGGTTTTATAAAACCCAGCTGAAGGCCTAGGACTGGGGTGACGGCGCGCGTGCCCACAGAGAGGGCTCTGAGTGCCGCCTCTGGCACCCGTGCCATAGGTTCGCCACCACTGATATATTCTATGTTTAATACTTAACACTCTTAGCATCTCAGTTGCCACTCAAGTCAAAATTACAAGAAGATCTAGATTTGGCACCAATTTTTTTTTTTAGTACTGTCCAAAGAATCCTGGGGAATATAGCGCGTGTTGGAAATTCTCTTTAAAATTCCTTACCATATTCCTTGACTTGCATTGCTCAAGGTAAGAATTCCCCCCCCCAGGTTAAGATATAAAGTTACCTGATAGAACAATTACGGTATGGAGCTCAGTCTAGCAAAGCCGGTTTGTTCTTTTGTCTCCCTTTTTTCTCAAGTGAGATCTCCAAGCTTTGTGAAGTTGCTGGTGTCTAAGGAGTCTTGGATAGTGGCCAAAGCTTTTCCCACATGTAGTGCAGATGTGGGATACCTGCTTGGCATGGGACTTCAGATGCTGAGAGAGCTTAGAGCTGGAAATGAACATCTTCCCACACTCAGCACAGCCAAAGGGCTTTTCGCCTGTGTGAATTCTCTCGTGCATATTCCGGCTGGACAAATGGCTGAAACATTCACCACACTGGCGGCAAGCATGGGGTTTTTCCCCCGTGTGGGTTCGTTTGTGCCGATTGAGATTCGAGACGTAACGAAAGGCCTTCCCGCAGTAGAGGCAAGTGTAGGGCATCTCCCCCGTGTGGACTCTCAGATGTTTCACCAGGTCCGAATTCTGTGTGAAGTTTTTCCCACACTCGGGGCAATTATGTCCATTGGACACGTTCCCTTTGTGACACCTCTGGTGGCTAAGAAGACTGCGGTGCTGCCGGAAAGTTTGCCCACATTCGGAACACAGGAAGGGCTTCTCCCCCGTGTGAATCCGTTGGTGGGTGAGCAGGTTGGAGCGCTGAGCAAAGCATTTACCGCATTCGGAGCACAAGTGAGGCCTCACCCCTTCGTGGAGCTGCCTGTGTTTAAGAAGGTTTGAGCTCTGGCGGAAACACCTTCCGCACTGGGGACAGGGGTAGGGAGTCTCCCCCGTGTGGATCCTCAGGTGGATGGTCAGGCTCGACCGTTGAGCAAAGCTTCTCCCACACATGGGGCACTGGAAAGGTTTCTCGCCCGTGTGGGTCCTCTGGTGAGTTAACAAGTTTGGGCTCCGTCGAAAGTTTTTCCCACATTCAGGGCACTGGTAGTTGCTGGGGGCTGACTGAATCATGGGAAGGACACCAGCTTTAGTCACAGACTCACACTTTCCTGGTTCCCTTGCTTCATGGCTTGGGGCCTCCATGTTGGGCTGAAAATCAATCAGATGCAATGTGTAGAAGCAGTTCAGGGACCAACCTATAGCAAAAAAAAAAAGCTATCTGGAGTTAGTTTCTGTAGGTTTTTTGGGGTTTTTTTAGGAATGTTCTTAAAATGTCTTGGATTGAAGATTTGTAATGTTATTGTTCCTCTCTACGTGGCATTGCGAGACTACATATGACTATTGTGTACAATTCTGGGCACGTTTGCAGAATGCTGACGAGTTAAATGGTGTTCAGAGGAGGTAAAATGAAGATAGTACAGAATCTTGAGGACATTTGATAGAATTTAGTGTGTTCAGTCTGAAAATAAACACTGAGCAGAGATGTGATAGCCATGTTCCCATGCATAAAAGGAAGCTATAGGAACAATGGTCAAGAATTATTTTCCATGGCCACAGAAACTGGGGCTAGAAATAAGGGCTATAAGTTGCACTTCCCTAGATTTAATTTAAATAAAAGGAAAACATTTCTGTAGCAAGATCTGTACAAGAATGGAATTATCTGCCTAGGGCAGTTGTGTGTTTTGCATCTCTGTAGGCTTTCCAGAAGAGACTAGCTAGCCACCTCTAAAAGATTATTTAGTTGGCTTCTTCAATATTGCAGATATTGTCTAGAGATGATACTTGGTGTCCCTTCCAATTCTACAACTGTGTAATTTTATGAAAATGCAAAATTAATTTTATCCACTAATAAATATAGGTGGCTGGTACAGGCACACTTTTCTATAAACTGTCTTCAACCTGCACTGAAGAGAGAAAAAAAATCTAGACAGTCTGATTGCATTAAAAAAAAACCTGCAAAAAGTAATTCTGATTAAAAGTGCTACACTCATGTCTGAAAACTAGAAATTCCACAATGTAACCATCTACTGTTTTGAGTCTTCAGCTTTTAGTTTCAGTAAGCAATCCCAAGTTCTAACATTCTGAGAGAAATTCTGCATCCAAATTGGCTATAGCCTACAATAATTTACATAAGCTAAATATTGACTGATTCGTCAAGTGCCTATTACTGCCTGTCCATCCAAAGTCTATTCCCTTGGATCAGGGGTCTTCAAACTTGGCCCTTTTATGACTTGTGGACTTCAACTCCCAGAATTCCTCAGCTAGGCACGCTGGCTGAGGAATTCTGGGAGTTGAAATCCACAAGTCATAAAAGGGCCAAGTTTGAAGACCCCTGCCTTGGATTGTTTCAACCTTCAAAGCCTCAATTGCTGCTGTCTTCTTTTACAGAGGAGCCTAGTCCCATCTTCATTTTGGTTGCTTTGGTTTGCCTTCTTTCCAGCTCTGTAATATGTTTCTAAAATATAAGACAGAAGCCAGAACTGTACACAGAATTGCAAGCACATAGGTCAAGAGTCTTCAAACGTGGCCCTTTTATGACTTGTGGACTTCAACACCCAGAATTCCTCAGCCAGCATGCCTGGCTGAGGAATTCTGGGAGTTGAAGTCCACAAGTCATAAAAGGGCCAAGCCTGAAGACCCCTGACATAGGCGATCATATAATGTGAAAGTACTTTTTACTCGGGAAAGCAACTCTCTTTACATATATCAGAGAACTAGGGCCAGCTGCCTCCTTTCACTAAATTTATTTTCTACTCTAGTTTCAAGTCAAAAAATTCACTAAGACTGACATTATCTACTCCTGGCAAAGCACCTGTTCCCTTCCCCAGCTCAGTATAGAAACTGCAGCTGGAGGCGTCCCCAGCACACCAATAATTAAGATGAAATTGCACCTGCTTTGGGTTGCAAGCACAAAGCCCTCTTAAAGCAGCATTTCCCCATAGTGTGATATTCCCCAGATGTTTAGACTACAGCCCCGTTTATCTGTTGGCTAACAAAGATACAAACTGTACAGCCAACACATTCTCAGGTCCATAGAAAACATTCCTTGAAAGAGAAGTGAAAGACAAGAGACGGTGCCTTCCTGAAGAAGAAGGAGACTCAAAGTCATTGCAAGCAAACCTCAATTTGTCAGGAATTGCTCATTGATTAAACCTAGTTACATGGGAAAACAGACAAAACAGACAAACCCCCCCACACACATAGCTCTTTTAAAAAAAGCCACCATCCCTAATTCCCAGTTTCACTTCACTGTCATACACTACCTCAGGCACTTCACAAAACACCTGAACTGCTTTAATCCAGTATGGCTGCTTCTTGCTTGGAGTGTCCACCTAGGGCTCTTCTGAATGAGGCCCCTCCCTTTGGAGAGGTCAGTTATATAGGTGTCCTGCTTTGGGCGGGTCTCATTGGCTGTGGGGAATTTCTTGAGAAACCTTTTCTAGGAACTCTATTACTTAAAGGAAAAACTCTTAAAGAAAAGTCACAGAAATGTAAGATTCTAAAGCAGGGGTCTTCAAACTTGGCCCTTTTATGACTTGTGGACTTTAACTCCCAGAATTCCTCAGCCAGGTACACTGGCTGAGGAATTCTGGGAGTTGGAAGTCCACAAGTCAAAAGGGCCAAGTTTGAAGACCCGTTCTAAAGAAAATATCCTGAATAATTTGTTGTTGTTGTATTGGTTCTCTCTGGAGACTTTAAGCAGTGCAATATTGTGGGAGGATGATTAGAATGGGGAATGCAATTTAATTTGGCAAATTGTCTAGGTGTGAGCACCATGAAGCTTACTAAGAGGTGCAAGTTCTTCTACTCAGGAGGAAGCATTTTATATTATTTCATTGCTGGTGCTTTACAACCAGCAGGATAAAAAAACATAATAAAGGGGCAGATCAGTCATAGCAGGCAATCAACATAGGAGCTGCAAATACTAAAGCTACTAATTTATTAGTAGCTCCAAAAAGTTGCTGGTTCTCTTAATAGGCCTTGGGATTAGAAGGCCAAAAGGGATTTCAGAACATTGAGGTGGGACTGGAATGTGGTGTCTGCAACTTCTTTAAACAGCTGTGCCTTTTCCTGGCGTTGGGTGGAAATCTTTGATTTCTTTGGAGCTTCTTTAATGGGAGATAATGAGGCCTAGGCCACAATGGGTGAAAAGTGACAAATGACAGCATGAGAAAATAATCTGATTAACCTTCCAGTTCAGACACAGAACTTTTTTTTTTTTACAACTCTGCCTGCACTTCTTTCCTGAATTTCCTGAATTGTTTTTGTTTTTAGATTTTTAGCCTGCCTTTCCCCCCCCCCCCCCGCATGCAACTCAAGGAGGCAAACATACCAATATTCCTCCCTCCTACTATTTCCCCCACAACATCAAAGTCTGTGAGGCGAGTTGGCTGAGAAAGAACGACTGGCTCAAAGTCACCCAGCCAGTTTTTCATGCCTAAGGAAGGGACTAGAACTCCCTGTCTCCTGATTTATAGACCAACACCTTAACCAACTGGTTCTCCCCCTCCCAAAAAAAAGTCTTGTCACTCAATGAAGTCTGGCTGAAGCTTTCTCTATGTTCATGGCACTTGTGAAGTATCTTGCTTGTTTATAGCTTTGTGGAAGCTTTTTCTCCAGTCTTGACAGGTATAATTTTTTCACCTAGGTGAATTTCTTGATGTCAAAGGCAGACATTCCACAGTCGGTTTTTCCCATGCACAGTGCAGAAGGGAAGCTTCAGTCCAACCAGGTTGGAATTCAAAGAGAAGCATTATTACACTCATGATAAATAGATGGTTTCTCCACCATATGGATAGTGCAACCCCATTTAGAACCAAAGACGATAAACTCCTGGATACAGAAATCTTAGGCTCTTGAATCCGCGTCATTTGGTACAGCCCTTATGGAAAAGCTATTAAACACTTGTTCATTATATAGCTGTATTGTCAGTAGTTATTCTATTAGTGATTAAGTAATGCAAGACCTACCCAATAAATTAAATTACAAACCATGCCACTGCTAATTTCACCCCTAATTCTCCAGTCTGTTATAAATAAAGTTAGATACTGTATCACCATCCCCTCAAGCAGGCCATAGGCATGACTCTGATATGGAAGATATTTGTGGGTTGTTTGTCTCAAGTCAATTTTGACTCCTGGAGACAGTCTAGACATGTCCCTGTGGTTTTCTTGGCAAGATTTTTGCAAGTGCTTTGCTATTATCTCCTCCTTCTTAAGCTGAGAAAGGGAGGGACTAGCCCAAGGTCATCCAGCTGGCTTGGTGCCTAAAGTGGGACTAGAACTCACAGTCTCCCCAGTTTCTAACCTGGTACCTTAACCACTACACTGAAATGGGTCTCTGAAATGGAGGGGTGGAGTAAAGTTAAGGTGATTTGTAACTGGTTCTTAAGGAATTGGATTCAGATGTCGCATCACCATAATCCGAAATGCTTAGTTTTAGAGAAATTAGCCTTTTGTGAAATTAGCTATTATGACTGATAAGCCATTGTTTATGGCTGAACTTGTGTAAACCTGATCTTTATTGCTGATCCAATAAACAGTATTCAAATGAGCCATAGCTTAATGTGGTAAGTGAAACCAGATTGCATTTCATCTGATCCCCAAAGTAGAATGCAAAAAACTTTTGAACTAGATCCTCTCCAAGAACTAGGACTCTCAATGTCCCACAAGATGCAGTGTACGCTCTCAAGCATAGGCAATAAACCAGAGAGAGAATGACAGAGCTGATTACATGTTTTTCCTTTGAGGCTCTCCTTGACAAAAACAATAGCTCAGAAGAAGGGCAAGACCTTGGTAACTTGGGAGGCAAACGCTGTCCGAGGTTCTGAAAAACTTGTTTCTTCTTCAAGAATCTTCCATTTGGATCATACCCTGCTCTCATATATTAAGATTGTGATCAGACAGACGATCACACTGCCAAGAATGGTGTGACAATTCAACAACATCAAATATTCAATCAATCATTTTGTGGAAGTATATAAAAATTCTGATTTTGTGAGCCAGTGTGCTCACAGTAAAAAATGACAATAAATCAATCTCTTATTTGATAGAATACTAGGTTATAATTGTTCATAGAAAAACATCCTGCTTATTAGAAATGAGTATGTCGAGTTGCATAGCACAGACAAATGGAGACAGTAA